AATTTAAGTGCGGACATAAAAAATAGTAATAGAATTGATGAGTTTAAACATAAATATAAAGGTATGTGTCAATCAAGATATATGCAAGAACAGGCTTAATGATTAATTAGATGGAATATTGTGGGTGTGGTGTATGAATGTTAACACTCTGTAATAATTCTTTAATATATTACTTGTGTGGTGTAGAAGATAAGTATTTAAGAATGTAATTATGTACGAATGTTAACACTCTGTTATAATTCTTTAGTATATTACTTGTGTGGTGTAGAAGAGAATTATCTATGTTGAGATACTGCTTGCAAACCAGTGATGGTAAGATGATGTCAGGGGGTAGGACTGGATAAGTCTGATTTCTTCCTACTCCATTCAAGCATGTACTAGGTATAAGCAAATTGATATTGGATTAGCATTTGTTTGATATGTGAAAAATTATGTGTGTTGATATATCAACTGTCTTTACATGCTTGAAAGAATAAATAAATCAAATCAAATCAAAAATAATATAAAATGTCTTTTTCCTGTTAGTAAATCAATGTCAACATCTAATATAACTAAAATCTGACTTGTTTAAAAACTAAATGCAGTTAAATAAAATTCAACCTGGAATTTTGAACAAGTTAAGTATGCTTCCTACGCCACGTTTGTCTGTTTTCACCTTTAGGAGTGATGATGGATGCCAATGGTGACCAATCATACAGCCTGCTTCACTGTGATGAGCACTTCCTCTTCTCACCTGGTTTCCCCACCAGTGACAGTTACATAGAATATGGTACAGAAGCCATGAGCATACACCAAGTTTAACGCTGTTATAGAAGATTCCATTTCTGAACTAAACATTTTGGTCTTTGTTTTTCTCCTAGATGACCTGCCAGATCTACAGGAGGTTCAGGAGGAGTTAGAGTCAGCAGTGCCACCTGTCTACCAGGTGGAGATGGGTGTGTCACATACAAACACAGAACCACACACCCCACAGCCTCCTGACACACAATGGCTGACACAGCTGGCTTACATTGCCACCGGACCTGATACAGGAGGCTCCTCACAGCAGGTAGGTACACTGTGTGCACAAGCTATGAACTGAACATGAATCTTATGGATGAAAGGTGTGAATATTAAATCAATTTTAGTTTTTAAACTGTTACCAAAAAGCATTTTCATAAATTTAAATGTTTTCAATTCATTTTTTATTCTGCTCATTCATTTTGTATCTAATCCTAGCATTTGTATTGTTTAGTGTTTTTGTTTTACTGTTAAGCATGTTGTAACAAAAATTGGTATATAAATGAAGTTAATACAGAATGTATAGTTGTAACATGTCTTCCCAACCTTAATACAGGTCCTAAAGTATAAAAATTACAGGTATTTTAGAATTATCGAGGGCAAGAGTCCAAAGCCCCACAGTGCAATTCCATCCCACCTTAAAGAAGTAACAAGCCATTAGTTATTGCCTGTAAAATATTTGGTAACCCTTTAATTTCTAGGCAATTAACTACATAGTATTATGGAGATATTGCTATGAAATAGCCAGGAAGAATTATGTAATGAGTAGTTGTTTATGAATGACCAGAAATTACTGGGAAGTATTGTGTAAAATTAAAACAGAATAAAGAGGTTTGGCCAGTAATTCTGTTGTATTTTATTGTTATAATAACAGGTACAGTCCAGGCAGCATGTCCTTGCTGTTGTCACTCAGTATAAACACAAAGCCATTGTTCTGGTGATATAGCCAAGTATTATAGGTTGTTATCGTTTTATTACATGCCATCTTGTACATTATCATACATAAATAACCTGTATATTTCAGTATGAGTGCACACTACACTTTACAGGCAGTAGAAAGGTAACTACGGTGATGTTTCATAGTACTTATCTTGTCATTGAGTAATATTTTGAAAATATGTACAAATTTCATAGAAATGAGTCACTGGATAGTACATATAATGTTATTTATTTCACTATGTTGCACTATCCATATGATTCGCGCAATGCTAAGTAAGAGATGACCAGTGAAATTTCTAGCATTTACTGCCTCTAGCATTTACTATTTCTTGTTGATAAACAACGATTAGGGTGGCTATCACAACTCTTGGCTTATTCAAAGGTAAATCCCTGGAAATTGCTGATATTGGTTACCGAAGGTACTTGCCTATATCACTGGAACTCTAGCTTTATGTTTTTTTGAGTGACAACAGTGAGGACACACTGCCTGTCAAAAGCCAAATATTTAGTAGGCTAACAAAGTAATGTCTGCAGAAGCAACCAATACCCCTTGTGGCCACATACCTTATATTATAACAATAACTTGCAACAGAATTACTGGCCAAACCTCTTTATTCTGCTTTAATTTTAGGTGGTATTTCTCAGTAATTTCTGGTTATTCATAAACATCTACCCTCATTACGTCCATTTTTCCTACGTATTTCCTATCAGTTTCTTCATATTACTACATAGTAATAGTCTGTAAATTAAAGGGTTACCAAATATTCTTTTTCTGCGTTTTTATAATTAAAGTGTTTTCTACACTATGCTATTTTAAAACAGGCCACCAAATAACAGAAAAATGATTTTGGTGAAGTACAAACGTCCTTTGTTTTTTGGCTTTGACAATTAAATTTCAGAATTTTGACTGAAGAAGGCCTCAACACTCAACACATTTATTTTTCTCATTAATTGCAGAATGTAAATCATTCATTAGGTCACTGAAACCACCAAATTTCCAAGACAATACACTGGACCTGACCTCGGTGTGGGCAGTACTGCTGTAGCTACTGTACATGCTCTGCTTTAAGCACATTAAAATTACAGTTAATATTCACAAGTATGACATGATGCAGCAAGGCATCCAAGGTTAAAACAATAGCAATGAAATATATATACAGTATATGAAATATTAAGCACTATTAACATGGACTGTAAGCTTTAATTTTAGAAGAACATCACTTGTCATACTGCATCAACCCTGTAAATTCAGGAAAATTTAACTGACAAATCATTTTCAGCTCATCTTCAGTCAGCATCTTGAGCACCAGCAGTGATCTAGATTCCTATGCTCGGCCTCCTCCTAGCCTCCCCAGCACAACCTTGTCACCCCTCCAAAGTCATGGCAGGGAGTATCGGCACAGCAGGGTAGAGCTACTGTTTACCTGCTTCCTTTTTTTGTTTTATCATCACTTATTGTATTTATAGAGAAGACGATCTGGATAAAGCTTATGAGCAATTTTTAGTTATATTCAAAGCGCTGTATGATAAAAACTGCCCAAATAAATTGATTAAAATAAAGAACAATCTGGAGGCAAAACCATGGATGACAAAGGGGCTATTAAATGCATGTAAAAAAAA